GCTTCAATAATTATTTCCTTTGCTTCGCTTTTTCTTCTTAGGTTTGAGCTTCAAAGTTTTAGTTGGTTTATTTCTATTAAAAAATATCCAGTTTAATTTCATCCTGGTCAGTTTTACAAGTTGCCAAATCTATATTTTTTGTACTTTTTTAAACATATTTTGTGGGCGTTTGGAGTAACATTTGAAGAGGTTACTTGCTTAATCAAAGCGAGAAATTTGGTAGTCTTGCGAAATCTAATTACAAATTTCACAAAATCAATAAACGAAAAATTGAACGTATTAAATTAAATACATTTTCATTGTAATCATTGCGTTCTTCGGTAAACTACCAATTTTAAACACTGAGAAAGTTTTACTAGGTCAAATAAGTGCAAACTCACATAAAACAAGGCATCCGGAAATTGTTTAAATATGAGCGATTACAGGAACCAATGAACGAAAACAACTAGCACGTAAGGTTCAAATATAACGAATGAGTAAGTTTATTCATAAGGTGAAAACGGTTAGTAAAATATAAGTAACGCCGGAACTATGCTAAGAATTGCTCAGCTGAACTTTCAATACATTGGCTAAGCAACACACTTTCAAAGAATCCAGCGACAACTGGACGATCAGGCTAATGAAAAATCCAGATCAGAAAGATATAAAAAACGGACTCCGTTACTTTAATCTTCAAGTACGATAATATTATTATTTAAAGCCTTAAGCTAGTTACGCAATTGACATTGGTAATTTTTATCCCAAGGAAACACTCCCTATCGGTTTTCCTCCATCTCAAGACTGAATGATACTGGGTATCCGCGATGCTGTGCAGTCTCGGTATCACGGTCAACTTGCTAGGTTCTACCATTTGCAAAAGTGAGAGTAATTTGGTACCGATGTGATATATTAATTGCCGGCGTTAAAATTAGTGCAAGCAAGCACCATTGTGTAACGGGCGAAGAAAAATTCGGTGGATGACACAGTTTTTGTGTGTTAAAGTGCGTCTAGTTGGGTGCAGTTTAACTGTGAGATTTGGTCGCATTTTCACTGTTTGGTAGAGGCAACAACATTTTTTGCGATTTTATATTCAGGGCTTATGAAATGAGATCGAAAGAAAAGAAAAGAGAAGTCGTGGTATCTATGCGATATCATAGAAATTTGAGATCACTTATTTTTGGTAAAGTGATCATTTTCAATTTGCGTTCACTCGTCTGCTGGCTTATGTTTCATCGGTAGCGAAATGTTTTTTGCAAACATATTTTTGTGTACCTAAATTTACCCCGCAAACAACTTTTTTGTTGCCGCTTGACGCCTCAAAGTTCCAATTATGTTGAGGTCGGGATGACTTTCGATCCGCAACAGGAAAACTAACATTTTCTTCAATACATTTTTAAAAAGCTGAAACTTTATTTATAAATTATGAAGATACTTGTTCATAGAATTTTACATTTCTTAAACTTTGGCAGTGGACTTTCACTTGAGCACTGTAACAAGGATATATCATAAAAAATACAATAATCATTAATAGTGTTTTAATAAGCCATGCGGAACTGTGAACATTCTATTACCCGGTGAAGTAATTAGAATTTCTCATACTGTTCTGAGTCAATTGAATGCCGGGTTTGGAAAATATCTACTGACTTGTTCTTGTCACTGGTTTGTTTCATGTTTTCGACTAATTCGGCTTTTACTGTTTTGACAAGCTTTTGCACATGTATGATTGTACGTATTAATTAATATTTTACTTTCGCCGTTCAGTCATGCTCAAACGATAATAGGTACGCGTTACACAAATCTAACTCGAAATATAGAACTGAAAAGAAACAAAGAGAACAATCTGTGCCCGTAGTCGTAAGCCCCGAGGAGCTAATTAAATTACTATTCCATCGGTTTTAATTGCATTCAGCAACAGGCGCACTAACAATTTTGTTTAGTGAGTTGCTAAATAATTTGTCATTAACTTTACTTTCCTCGATTAGAACCCAAATTAACTTAAGAATGCTCGATTGGTTAGCAAAACAAACAAATTATTATTTAATAAAACATTTCTATTGCTTTAGT